TGGTACAATGGAAAGACGGCACTTCAATCAGGAGTTGGAAGCGTTCCGTAGATAGGCTACACCTATAAGGTCATGTCGTAGCCATTGTTTAGCACCCTCCGGCGGCACATTGAGAAACTTATAACCCAAGGGTCTGTACGCGGCGAAAGAGGCCAAGAAATCTGCTGTAAAGTTTGCTTCGCGGAAAACATGTTGCACCCTAACTGTCCATGGACGCCTGAGGAGCTCCTTGATCCCTCCTACCAAAGCCATGTGCACTCCCGGTGGCTCCTCAAGAGAAGTAGCAAAAGCCACCGCACTCGCACTATCCACTTCTGCTATGACCTTTCTATAACCCAAGTTCCAAGCCATCAAGAGCCCCTTAAATAGACCCCAAAGCTCTGCCGCCATGATTGAGCAAATTCCAATTTTCATAGTGAAGCTCCCTAGCCAACGGCCCTGCTCGTCTCTGATTAGACCACCCGCACACCCAATTCCCGACGTCGTATGAAACGAGCCATCTGAATTAATTTTAATCCACCCCGATTGGGGTTTCTCCCAATTAATCCATCGTGACACACCGAAACATCCCGTCCCTCCAAGTTTCCTGTCACCTTCAATAATTTGTTTAAGACCGCCGGCATAAGAAGATATGTCCCTGATAGCTCCGTTCCCGTCCCAACTTCTTCTTTGAAAAATAAATTCATTCCTCCATTTCCATAATTTCCAAGCGACCACACCAAAAATGCATGTCCAGTTGTCAGACTCGCGACGCGACGCGTTCGACAAATTAGAAAGCAACCACTGCTCCAGAGACAAAACAAAAAAATCAGCATGGTTGTAACCTGGCAACAGTCGTCGCCAAACATTTGCTGCTCTGGGACAGTCCCGAACCACATGAAGGCCTGTTTCCTCGGCTCGATCACATAACTTACAAGTAGTGTTAGTTGATAAATGCCGATGATTTCTTTCCACGTTGGTAAGAAGCCGATTCTTTACCAGGAGCCAAAGGAAGGTTCGGATCCTTTGTGGGCCTGGCCAGTTCCAAATAGCTCGCCATAGAGTACGCCGGTTCGAGCTCTTACTCTCTCCGTTCTCTAGCATATCATAAGCCGACTTTGTGGTAAACTTACCAGTGGGCGATACCCTCCAAAACAACCTGTCGCGGCCCAAATCTGCACGCGGTGCCGGTGTAGCCGCAATCTGAAGGAGCGTCGTCGCCGGTAAAAATTGAGAGAAAAGGGGCCATCTCCAGGACCCCCCGGCCGTCACGTAAAAACTCACCGACTTATCTAGAAGCACCTGTGGGACTGCACTTATAGCGACATCAAGTAGGTTGGATGACGGGTTAGCCCATTTGTCTATCCAAAAACAGACCGTCTCTCCATTACCCACAGCCCATCTGGCCCCAGCTACCACGTGCTTCCATATTTTACGAACTGACTGAAGGACCGTCGATCCCATTTTATTTCGACCAGCCTCTGCGTCGAAAGGAGATTGGCCATACTTCGCTTTCCACACCTGAACCCATAACGCATTAGGATCTGTAAGAAATCGCCAGCCGAGCTTCATAAGCAGCGCGTCATTCATTCGACGTTGACGTTTAAGTCCCAGC